TTTGTAGCAACGCGTATCAGTGTCAGTGGTGGGAATCGACTTGTGCCCATATAGCGAACTATAAAAGACTAATGAGACCTCGTTGCGAGTCGCATGGTCGAATTGCGGCGCGTGACGTCACTTCTCGCGGAAACGTGTTAATTTATTGCAGCGACGCTTTAATTTCTTGGCTCCAGCCATCGTGAAATCGCGCGGAAACAACGGAAAAGTTCCGTGGGGAGACATGCGTTAAAATTCATTTCCCTCTTCGTGAAAAGAAATTCCTATTAAATTCTCAGAACTCCACATCTATTAAAGCTTGAAATCTATAATTCATCATTAAACCTCGTCTTTACAAATTTTTAAATATTTCAATTCCGCGACATTCTGAACATATTTAAACTATTAAAATATTTGAAGGAGGAAAATTGACAAATTTTTAAATCTTTGTTTCTCTACTAAAACTTAAATTTATATATCAGAATTCGAGATCTAGAAATCGATTTCAAAATTCTTCGTATTTCCTCAAATATTGTGATTTAGTGACGTTTTATATATATATACAAAGATTTTATCTCAAAAAAGGAAAAAATTATTAAACTCTTGGACCTAAATCTATCTATCGAGTGCAGAAAGCTTAAAACTCGTGCTTCTTATTTAAATTCACATTTTTAAAATATAAAGTTAAGTATTTAAAGAAAAAAAAAGAAAGAAAGAAGAGGACTGCTGTCTCGATTTCATTCACTTTCCATCAACGTTTTCATCGCGATAAAGAATCGACAAGTCGTCACGCGAACTCTCGGATAGATGGATTGTTAAATGTTTTAACGGCGAAACGCGCAGCTGTACATTTCAATGAATTCACCGGTTTAACTTTCGTTGAATCCGCATCGCGCCTACGCTTATTTCCATTTCATCAGAATAAAAACAGCATTCTGACGGGATGTTTTATCGAACGATCTCGCGTGTAGTTATGTTAAAATATTGAAACGGTTATTGGCTCGTATTTCAGACATGATTGCCGACCGAAAATTGGATCGGGTATTCTGATTCTAGTATCCTATTTGCATTTGAATTTCGAGATCGGTTTAAATTATGCTTGAATATAATTTATACTTCTACCAAGCAATATTTATCAAACTCGAAATTTGGAAATACTAAAAATTAATGTGTAACTATGAAAAATATTTTAAACAACGGCGAATGAATATTTTAATATCTGAAGATTGTATTACAAGAGCAGAATGTCACGTAATAACTGGAAAATCGTGTATTACTAGCAGATATTGAAATATTCGAGAGATAGAGGTTCGCGTAAGAAATATAAAAAAAATTCTGCTGTAAATAATTTTAATACAAAAATGAAAGATTCTCTAAGAATAAAAAATTACAGATACGAAATTTGAACATTATTAAGTTCAAATTTAGTAAAGTGGCTACTTAGTAAAGTGGTTATGAATAGAATTATAGCGTGTCAGAATGGCACATTTAACAGATAAACACGTTGAAAGATTGTGAATGGTGCCTTCAGTGTCCAAAAATCACGCACCTTGTATTTCTAAAGACATCGATCATCCGACAGTTTGTCGCGTCATGCCATTTTTTGTTCATTCAGTAACAGATTCAGAACCTGTCGATGTGTTTTAACTTTAAATTTAACACACTGGAGAAACGTGTACTGTGTAGATCGGTTTCACAATGACAACAGGACGATTTTAAGGCAGAATCGAAATAGAAATGCTTGAAGAATCAATTGAAACGTCGACTATTCTTTAAATTCTTTTTATGTCATTTTTATTACAAATTGGCAACTTATTTAAGCATCTAAATGTATTTCAGGTTTCAACTTTTATGAACTTTCACGATTTTGCTCCAAAACTCATTTTTCTATGATTATCGGAGAAATAGAATATTCTTTAAATAAATTAAGATTCGAAGACTAGAGATACAAGGACTCCTAAAGAAAAATCATTGATAACTGGGAATTAATTAAGTCAGAAAAAAAATAGACAACTATGACGAGCGTGCTGTCGAGTTTAAGGATCGGACTAGACTAGACGTGGAATGTCGACCGATTGAGTGCTTGATTAGAGTCATAGCCGGTTTGCCCTCGCGTTTACGCATATATTGAATACTATTTTTTTTGAAAACAGCTTATTAAACACCATCACGTGCAATATTGCGAATATAACTCGTGACATGTTCGATGATGAAAGTAGATTAGAGTTAGTTATTTAAATCAAAGAAGATTTATTTTTCCGCATGAAAGAAGATAATTTTCTTACAGTTCATAAATTTTAAAATATTATAATATCAATTTTATTGATTCGCGCCAATAACATAAAAAAGTTCGAATATATTTGTACAAGAATTCTAGCGAACTAAAGTCGAAAGTGTGAAAATAATCGAAGAATAGTAGCTAGAGTAACTGTACATTGCTGCAATGTTCGAGTAACGATGAGTCCATATCTTTGGCATCGAAGCTTCTCACGTTCTACATATTCACGCATAATATCAAGCATATATCATTCAAACATTGACTTTGATAACAATATTTCAAAGACAAAACTCTGATAAGAATATTTCAAAGACGAAGCTTCTACACGAAACTTATTCTTTTCTAAGTAATAAATATCTCGATTACCGAATAACTGATGCATCTAGCTTAGGTAAAAGTATTTTGAGAGTAATCTCAAGCTTACAAAGAATACAGAAAGAAACCTAGAGGAAACATCCCTGCAAATAGTGGTCATTTAAAGCTGCGAAACTGTCGAGAAAAAGTGAAACAAAGTTATCGCAAAGGATGGTCGATCGATCGGAACGATGTATAATTCCGCGGTCATCTTTTCGTTGGTTGCGAAATGAACCAAAACCGAAGTGTGCCGTGGCTGAGAAGCAGATCGATCGGAGTCCCGCCAGATTCCGAGATGCTGACCAAAACTCATGAAATTCACCACCGTCGGCGCCACTGAGCTGCCTTTTCGCCTCTTCCAAATAAAAATATAAGGACCAACCGGTCTCCGATCCAAGACTTGACTCACCGGATCATTCATCTTTCGCAAAGATTTCTAGGGACCTTAGTTACTTAGTATTTCTTTACGCCAGAGACTATAATTTTATCATTGAGCAAATTAATGACGCACAACGTTGTATAAAAGACGAAGTTACCAATAATAAAAGACTAGTATTTGAAGTTTAAAGCATTTAAATTCAATAGATGTACTTGCACAGTTAATACTTTAATGTACAAGATAAAATTTGTAAATACGAAATTGACATAAATTAATATAAGCTTTATGCGTACAGTTTTATATTAATGAAATTCTTTATTAATATAAAACTCGGTAGTTAATGTTTCTCAAAATTGAATTATGGTTTATCAGTTACGTTTTATCGTAATCTATAGGCTACGAGGAAAACACATATAGATTAAATTTGACTGTTTTTTAAATTAAATGAAAGATAAGAACTTGTTAACGTGCACGATCATTCATAGAGTAGAACTATATTGCTCATAATGAACGTGATATTGATTTGGTATTATGGAATATTATGGAAGTTATTGTATTGTGTCAAGTTTTATCAAGAAATAAATCTAATCGCCATTTGAAACGACGAAAGAACTTATAAATAATATAATTTTTTGGAATAAATAAACAACAAGATTATGATTTAAGCGCAAGGAGTATTAATTATCATAAATTAGGCTACATCACTGAAAACGTATACTCACTGGAGCGAAAAACATCGGTCCCTTTGCAAATATTTCCCAACATCTAACTGAAAACGTTGCTAGACATTCTAGCAAAATTTCCATCATCCCTCGAATCGACTGCTGCAAGATGGTAGCAATGGATTCTCCACGAGCCTGCGCTCTGAGGGTTGAAAACACATGCATTAACATCGACATACCATGACTTCTTAAAGTACCTTCATATTCTCCTACAATAAACCTCAATATACATATCATCACCAATAAATGGCAGGCAAAAGCAGAAATATTATTTGTTTCTTCAACGTATCTTCATTATTGACAATTAGAAACATCAAAAGATCACTATTCACTCGGAACAAGAGAACAAGTTTGCCCGTAAGAAAATTTATCAATTTACCAGAGAGAAAAATTACTTTGTCCATTCAGTTACATCTCTTTTCTATTTTACTTTTAGCAAGAGCAAAGGACACACTAAACATCACAACACATCATTCTCTTCTTTTCCTTTAGTCACACTTTGATCTCAAGGACTATGAGTACTGATCACATCGACAGGATTTTGAATCGATCACCGATTCTCAGTGATTTGGTTATTTAAAATGACTTTACTTAAAATACTTTCAGTAGACGTTTCAACACAGTGGAAGTAAAATGCGACGTTTTTCGATGATCACGGATCACGCACAAGCGCCATGAGATGTAGATTTGGCGAGTTTGCGTGGTAGGTAGCTGAATCGACGCTGGGCGTCGCCATCACGGGGTTGAAACGAACAAAATAGAGCGGGGTGATGTTGCTTCCGAGCTGGAGAAGGGGAAATTCGACGCGGTTTCACTAACAGGCAGTGGCGTGTCCGACCAGCTCCACGGAGACCTGCAGACTGTTCCATGGCCCGGCCTCGTCCCTCCTCGGGCCAGGAACAGTCATTAACATAAATTGTCTTCGGTGACAGTTATATCCACCACTCTTCGCCAGAATCTCTACCGAAATAATATTAGGCTGCGGAATTTCTGCCCTTTGGAGAGGTCTCGTAACCAATTCGACTTTTTCTTTTTTTTTTTTTTT